GAGAGAGAGAGAGAGAGAGAGAGAGAGAAGGGAGCGTGAATGGAAGGCGAGGTAGGAGTGAGAAGTGTTGGCTGGGAATGGGGGGGCGATAGAGGGAAGGAAGGGGTGGAGATAGAGGAAGCAGGGAGGAAGGGAGGGGTCTGTAACGCCTCTGCTGGGGTCAATCATTGGGAGAATCAGGACCTAGAGGAGAGGTTGCGCGCGCTGCGAGTGACCCCAGCTACGTCCCCCATGTGTGTGGCTGAGTGGAGCACATCTTCGTCATCGTCGTCTTCCTCTCCTGAGTCACTTGTGAACGGCGGAGCGAGAATTATAGACTGCGGCGGCGCCGCCGCCGCAGGCGGTGGGGGAGAAGCTCCCCTTCTCCCCACCGTGTCTGTTTCGCAGCCGCCGAGTGTTTCGAGCGTTAGGGTACTATTGGCGAAGCCATGTGATGGCGGCGGCGGCGGCGGAGGAGGCGGCGGAGGTGTTGGTGCGGCTGGTAGTGTTGTCGGTGATGGAGCAGTTCAGGTTGTGAAGGGATTGTTATTGCACGACAATAGAAGAGGTGGGGAGGGCGTGACAGGGCGGCGGAAGGAGGTAGGTGGCGACAGCTCCATTCCCATGGCTGCAGTGGGAGCGGGCTCGACAGGTCTGAAGGTCGAGGTGGAGACGAATGCGCTGTCACTCGACGGCGCACTCTTGGCTTCTTTCGGCTCAGCAGAAGGCGGCGCTGACGATTCTGGAAGCGGCGCTAGTGGTTTCAATGGCAGCGGTGATGGCAGAAACAACGGAGTAGTAAGCAAGGAGGATCAGGTGGACTCGTTTTTAAGGGAGGCATTACAGAATCCCCGTGATCGACTTAAGAGTAAGAACGACTCGTACACTCTTTATGTTATGGCACTTTCTCTTCTTGCTCTTGAGTGTGGTTTCTTAGCATGTGATTGTGATGCTTGCTGGTGACATAACAAGAGGCGTCTGTCGAATCTCCCTCGAGACGCAAGTTTTCTCGCGCTGTCGTCGTTTTTTGCGCCGTTTTTGTCGCCGTCTCGATGCTCAAACAAGCAACACAGATAAACAGTGGAGCTGAAATCGGGAAAAATAGATGGCATCGCTTTCTCACAGTGGTGGGAGTCTTTTCGTACTGCGATGGAGGCATAATTGAATCAAAAGTAGGTGGATTGTGTCTACTAGCCGAGTTGGGTACTTTGTCCTTGAACTGTTGAAATGCGGACCTGTGCTCAAATTCTACATGGAATTCGATGAGGCCAGATAAATGAATCGAACGTATGAGAAGAATGTAATAAGTGATGTAGAAGAGCGAGCGGGGCACAAATCCGGTTGCAGAAGAAGTGGAGATCAACTGCCCGTCGTCCCCCGAATAGAACGCACGGTGATTATGGCTGCATTTGGTGCAAATCTTTCAGTGTAGATGCAGTCATAATGACGGTACGTTCTATCCGATGGAGAGACGGGTGGCAGTCGAAGAACGTGCGGGCAAGTGGTGGCCGTGTTGCCACGGAGCCGAGGCCTGCTCTCTCAGGGTTGCGCATGGCGTTTCGTTTTCCCTATGCCCGCCATTGTTCCACTGATTACCTGTCACTTCCGAATAGAACGCACGGGCAGCCACCATCGCGTATGGGAGACTGAAAATTGCCCGAAACGAAATGTAGCCAGCTATAATGTGCGCTCTTTTCGGGGTGTAAAGACGGCCGTGGGGATTTGCTCTTCTGGTTTTCTAGAGACTGGGAAGAAGATAGACGTAGGGAGAAGCGGATCTCCGGGGATAAGGGGAGTGGAGGTCTTGTTGCCGACGTTGTCTTATGGATCTGGAAGCCGCCGTGTACATGCAAATATCAAATTCTGTTTGCCAATCGTTTTCGCCGCGCTTTATGCCGTCTGTTTTCGTCGCTACAACGCGCTCTTGCTGTGCTCTCTGTCTGTCTCGTAATATTGTAAGTAATTGTAGGGCCTCGGTGCGCCACTCACCAAATGTGCAAAATGAGAATGAATCTTCCGCTAAAACCTGGGAAGGGGACACCGCCATATTTTGTCTTTAGTGCACGCGGTTCCACGGTTGCATCGATTCGGTGTTTGCTCATTGAGTTGAGCTCCGGTCGTGAAAAGACATACCGGGGATTTTGTTGATGGTATATTGGAATAGCGGGGATTCTGATGGTATGTTGATTAATGAGTGCTTGATTAATGAGTGCTTGATTAATGTGTGCAATTGAAGTTTTTTTGAGTGGTCGGGAGGAATGAGGGTTCAATCGGGAAAAGAACTGGGGTTGGGACAGCAATGGAAAGCTCTCATTGAGTTGAGGATTTTGCGGATATTTTAGGATGTCGATGACAGCAATTGAAAGCTCAATGTTCGGCGCTGGAGTGGGGGTTGGTTGGTTGGTTAGTCAATGAACTCTCTTCTACTATGCAGGCTTCGAGTTGATGGATGGTGTGAGGAGGGGGAGGGTTCAGGTTGGAGGAGTGGGGGAGGCGGGCGACGGGGCGGACGGGACGGGCTGGGGGGGGGGGGGGGGGGGGGGGGGGGGGGGGGGGGGGGGGGGGGGGGGGGGGG